TCTATAAGGTAGCTGTAGCACACCCATGATTGCTTACATAGCGATTATGGCCCGATCTTTTGCCCTGTGGTTTAACGGCTTGTGCAACCGTTACACGGGGTGGCCGGTCTGTGGGGGTGGCCAGTCTTTGGGTGACGGACGTTACAGCAGCGCGTACTTGGGCGTCACAATCGTGAAAGATCCTGAAAAAAAAAGAGGGTTATATATCATGTATTAATTGGAAATCGTATGTACTAAGAAGTTTTCGATCTCTTTATTGGTGCAAGTACATCTTTCAAACAACCTAGCGATGTGAATCTCGCTTCGGGATTGACAGTCTATTTGCAGTTCGTTCCGCCATAAACAAAAGTACCGTCAGAGTTCTCACAGCCACATGTTCCGTCATTAGGATCCTTGATACAGGTTGTCCCAACTCCAGAAGACTCTCCGTTGTCGCTATTAATCGTCAGATCCGTACTATAAAACATTTGTTTTAGAACACCTACTTCCAGAAAAAGGTCCAGTAATCCGCATCAGCAGTGAGCTCGTCGGAAGTAGGAGCATCACATTCGTAAGCTTCGCAGGTGCCGTAGGGAGCACCGTTGTTGGCATCATATTGGTGATCGACCTTGAAGATGGCAAAGGTCTGCTGGCCAGAGACACGGGTGTTGTAGGCACATTCAGCGGCCTGGATGGCGTTGGAGGTCTTGGATGCTGGCTGTAGTGTCAGTATAGGATATCGGCGGGGATGAGGTTGACGCACGAGAGCATGATGGGCTCTTGGGGTATTTGCCCTTGGTGTTGCTCTGAGCAGGCTCAAGAGTAGCAGTAACGGCGCCTGCAACGGCAAGGACCGAAGCTAGTGTAGTGAGAGGATACATGATGAGTGATGTGAGGTTTTGAGGTCTTGGCGACAAGAAATTGATAGTCTGGCTGTGTCAAGATAAGACTGTAGCTCCAAGATATTCGGAGACCTTATATACGACAATTTCTCTCCTTTGTTTCAAAGAAATTGAAGACGTGTTTTCGAAACATGCCATAGTGGAGATATCCATGATTCTCTTGGTGGAGCGCTCGCCCCTTGGTCAATTCTAGCAAGGATAAAGTGGCTCAAGCTCAACGGCAGCTGTCGTATTTATACGCGGCCTGAAAACATGCATGGGATATTATCTGGGTCTGTCAGCGTTGTTTGGGTGAAACAGCAGGTTTTGAGGTTGTGACTGGTGGAGATATTTGGCTGAAGCAAGCTGATAATCCGATGGTGAGGTTTCGGAGATATTGTAGACTGGGGTATGTTTCCTCTGGATTGAGTAGCTGGGTTGGCCTTCATTGCATCTATTGCCCACATTCCGTGATCCTGATATGAAGTTGTCCGATGTTGACTTATATCTGCATACTGGATCAACTCCAAAGCCTGACCTTTGGTTGGAACAAGTCTCGACGAAGGCAAGAAGTTGCCCGTACTCTTGGACTATTTCCAGGGCTGATAACGTTGAAAAGAACGATCGAGAACTTGGAAACGGCACTTGATTGGTTGCTAGTTCTCAAGTAAAGTACGTGATTACATACGGAATTTATTAAAAGGTTATCTAAGCTAAGGTGAAGTATACTGATGGACTGAGCTAAAGGTCCTCCACATCCGCAGCGGTATGCGGATGAAACGTCTCAAAGTTAAAAATTGCCTTCTTGGTTTCCCCCTTCGGTTCATACAATACCAGCTCTGGACAATCGCCCAAATCGCCGAATGCGCCAGAGTCAGTAAAGAAGCCATCTTGCAAAGTCCCTGTAACATTGAAGTGATACCCAATCTCACGTATTCTTTGTCCGGCACAGCGAAGTGACACGCGGGAGCCATGATGATCCTCTAGAGTATCTTGGATGTCTGAGAGCCGATAAAACATGGAATATGAAGGAACAATGCCGTCGTCACGAAGCCAGTCATACGTCGGCAGCCTCTTGTGGAGAGACATGGCTTTTTTGAAGTACGGGGCTGCTTCTTCGGAGACTTCATAGTGGCTGAAGCACTCCGGGCTCAAGGTGCTGAAGCATGTGCCATGCTTAGCCCATTGATCTTGCCAGAGCTCGTCGTTATCACCATTGGGTGACTCCCAGAGTTGGTTCATATCGTCAATGGTATATTCGGCACCTGCATGGTAGAGGATTTGTGTGATGTTTGTGTATGTGCGGTTGGTGTCGCAGTGGGTAGGGAGGGAGCCGTCGTTGTGGATTGGCCAGAGTCCACCAACAGTCCATGAGTCTGATGAAGAGGTTAGAGACAGCCGACTTGTTCATGCGGGGGACAGAGACTCACCTAAAGGTCCAGTGACTGGTCGTGTATCCCAGACTTGAGTCTGAATTAGTCTCGCAGGTGATGAATAGCAGCAGGTGTCATCAGCTGCAGCATCATCATAGCATGAGCCTCGGCGACTACCAGCGTAGACATTTGGTGTCCCAGCAAGTGCCACAACAGAAGTAGCTGCTGTGATAAGAGACAAAATCTGAAACGAAGACATGTTGCTGCTATCTCAAGGTACTGCAGTCTTCACTTGGGTTACTTTGCAACACTTGATTTTGCAACGATATGGCTCCTGGCTTTATAATTCTCAACGGCACCGCTCTGACCATGACATGAGCGATTTCTATACCATCCAGTTTGTACGATCATCCACTCGCAACCCGTAACTGAGCATCATAGAACTGTTGGTTCCGGGGCTGATACAAATCCTCACTTGGCAAAGTTTATATCCTAGTCACCAATCACAAACTGAACCGCGTCAGCTACAGTCCGAAAACGTTCAGCCTCGTCTTGGGGCTATGTAGAGTTTATGGAGGTTAACTGACACGATACCAAATGCGGACTATGCGGGACAAACAACGAGTGATACTTTTGCAGATCCATACCAATTCACCAATTCACTTTTGAATTTCTTGTTTTTTTCGTTCATGCAAGGTACTGAGGTCGTTATTTGTTTTCATTCAAATCCTGGTTTCCTTGGACCTGCAGGCCGTTTGGTTTCAGTTGAAGCCACGATGATCACAATTTCTCCTCATGATGATAACACAAAGGCTGGAATGCGGACCGGTCCGTATAACTGCAGCTACAGTGGTTGGACGGGTGATGATGTATACCTCTGGCCCAAGCTCCTCAGCCATGGGCTTATGTTAGAAGGAGTTGAAGCTATTTGAACCGTCATTCCAGAGATTATGAGGGAAAAGCTATCATCGGAAGATTAAGGATTGCCATGCTGCGGTGCTAAGAATAGGATTGGGTTTGCGTGACTGCCGAGGTCCAAGAGATTCTGGATCATTGTTGTCAGCTTCATGGCTGGCTAAGCTTCAGCTGAGATAATTGTCAGTCCTCAGATGGTAGTTTGCGATCGAAATGGATGTCTCAGATGCGCTCAGCGGACGGGACATCTACCCGGACTTAGTAGACCCATAAGATCGGAACTGAGATCTCAGCATATCCCTTCTTCCGAACCACTCAGCACCATCGCCAATCTCTTCCAGCTTTTCAAAATCTCGCAGCCTAGTCTTGGCCGAACTTAACTCGTTTCCCAGCCAGCCCAACAAAGGACCATGAACTCTCACCGTCATAGAAACCTGATTGTCGGAATGTGATAGTTAGAGTTTTACTTGTCAAAGACTGGGCCACCGCCACAAACGCGAGGACAACGGCGAGGACACCACGGAACATATGCAAGCCTCCAACGATGAATGCTATTTGCCTTGACTCGTGCGAGAAGTGTAACCCGGCTGCGCAGACTAGTCGCGGCCCCAGAATTTAGGCTATTTGAGCTTGTGTGGAGAATGGAACGTCATGATGTTGATGCACTGGAATGCCGATTGATCACTCGATCAACCTGGTCTAAGGGGCTTGCGTGGGAGATTTGCTGTTTAATTGACATTTCGTTGAAGTCAATTCAGTCGTTGAGAATTTTCAACGGTTCAGAACCACACGACACCTAATGGTTTATGGTTGATAATAGCTGCAGAAGATAGTTATGAAGACTCGCCTCATATTACACCGAGGTCGATCAAGGATGACACTCCTGCTCGGACCGATTCAGGTTTTCGGTTAGTAAAGAGGGGAAAGAACAATGTCATCAAGAACAAGATAGTCTATAAAACCGTCTTCAATTACAATCTCGGTTTCTTCTCCGCATATTCTTATCATGATGCGACCGTCAAAATGAAGCTTTTCAGTATCATCACGTGCCTTTGCGTATCCTCACTGGCTTCAAGACCGCCTCAGTTTCACAATTCAGCCAACCATCCCGGCGCGGATCCTCATGTGATCTACGACTACAAAACAGGCCAGTATTATGCTTACTCAACAGAAGGAGCAGACCCAGGAAGTCTGTTCGCGATATACACCAGTCCTGACCTGTCAACTTGGCACAAACATCCCGGTGGTGTGCTGAAAGCGTGCTACGATGATGACATGAACCGCATCGAAGGTGGTCAGGCCTGTTGGGCGCGTGACTGGTACTGGGCTCCCGAGACATACTACAATGAGAAAACCGGATGGTACTTTTTCTTCTTTGCTGGCCGGTTGCGGGAGGACCTGGCAAAGGATTACTTCCGATACTCGGACTTTGAAGAGCCGTCTAAAATTGGCGTGGCTGTCTCTCGTTCACCGACGGGACCGTTTAGGGAAATTGAGTCTAAGCCGATTGACTACTACCCTTTCGATCCCGACTATCACGATGTCAACCTCATCATGGACGAGAAGCAGATGCTGCCACCGCAGAGTCTTGCAAAGGGTCAGACGGCGCCCAAGGGAACATATATCCCCACCATTGATGTCAACATCTTCTTCGACAATGATGAGCGCATTTATCTCTACCTTTCACGGAATGCATACCGAAACTGGAATTGGGATAAGAAGCTGGGCAAGTACATAGAGGAGTCGAATATCATCGTGGTAGAGATGGAACGCGCTTGGTGGGACGATCCAAAGGCATCAACCATGCCACAAATCATCGCCTCACAAAGGAACATCCATGCCAAGGATGCGCCAAAACTTCCCTCGAACATCACCTCTTACAACGGCACTGGGGAGATTGGATCACCACCGCGCAAAGACGGCTGGAAGACTGTTATTTCCTACGGCGCTGATCCGCAAGAGTGGGAGAACTTTCATGTTGACGACTATAAAAAGTACAATGGCACGAAGAAAGATCGCCGTTGGGCTGAAGGGAGCACTGCCATCACGAGACCTGGCAAGGATGGAAAACCTATCTATCTTCTAACATACAGCGCCAATAACTACGAAGCATCCAACTATGGCGTTGGCTTCGCAACTGCAAAGTCCCCATTTGGTCCATTCCGAAAATCTTCGAACAACCCTATCCTTTCGCAAAAGCCCGATGCCGAGATTCCAATCTACTCAACTGGCCATGGTAGCATTGTTGCTTCACCTGCTAAGCACAATAAGAAAGTTGGCGCTCAGGAAGTTACACTACGAACACCTCCCGGTGCTGAGCTGTTTTATGTGCATCATGCCCGTAACAGCACAGAGCGTGATCGTTCCATTTACACGACTCGGATGACTCTCGATGAGTCTGCTGTTTACTTCGGGACAAATGATGCTCTAAGCATGGATCTTACACCACTTGATCAACCTTTACCGAAGAACACGTATCCCATCAAGATGGATGCAAAGTGCTCTGATTCGAAGAAGAGAGCGCATGAATATCAGATTCGTGTTGAATCCAAGCCAGGTGCACCTTTTGATATTCTTGAAGGAACGAATAGGGTTGTTACACTGCCTGGAAATACAGTTGCAACGTCTGTGAAAGCTGACAGGCATGAAGGCTCGTTTGTCCTGTCCTTTGATAACAAGATTGTGAAAGAATTGGCTTACCAGCGCCTGAGTGTTGATGGGAGTTGGGCAACAGTCACAAAGAAGAGAGTTTCCTACAGATAGACTTCAACTCATGGTGACGAGTTGTCTGTTACTAGGAATGCTAAAGATTTCAAACTTCAGAGACCTTTCTCGGAAATGCGTGCAAATACAGGCGAGGGATCTATAAAAACCTCCATCTTATACGACTTTAAGTTGCCATCCTCGTCCCTCTTCATCAACATCGTAGCAAGTGCTGGAACTTTGATTTTTTGCGTTTTGGGATCGTCTCCCTTGACAAGATACCGAACATCACAACGATGATAGATACAGGGGCTCACATAATCTAGGCTCGTGAGAAATTTGCAGGAGAACTTGTGATGTATATTAACTTACCAACATGGATAACATCATGTTCTAATCCATCGAACTTAGCCCATATAGCTTTGAACATCTGGATACACCATCAGCATGTGGAAGGGAACAGGTTCTGGTTTGTGTAGTCTACTTCTCTAGCATCCATGACGGAGCGCGCCGGGCTATTCGCGAATTGGACTGTGGCATCTGCTGTATAAAACTTATCGAGCCATGCGTCTACATCCATTTTGGCACTATAGGCGTTGTTCTGTGAAGAGAAATGTGTCAATATCAACAGAGTTCAGTGTGCAAAAGATAGACGTACTTCAACCAGCCAAGCCATAGCCTCTTCTTTTGAGAGCTGAAGATCTGAAGACATTTTCAAATTTATTTTATTTGTTTCCCCTTTACTTGTGTTCGCAGTTGTTGTAATCGGGAATTGCCCAGAAGCGTTTTCATGTATCGTGAAATTTATACCCCCTCACTAGTCAAATTATTTTTTTTTTGGATAAGGTTGACCGCTACACTGACTAAGCCCGCGACTTCCGGACCACATAGTGAGGTACCCAGATAGTTTAGATAGCGGCCATACTATGTGGAACTTCATAAATAGTAGATCACCCAATTTTGGGCTCCAGTGGTTGAACAGAGGCGAGAGCCACGACTATGAACTTGTATCTTCCGGATCTGAGGTTCGGGTATCCAGTAGTGATTTGCGAAAGCTTGTATTAAAGAACTTGATAGACTATGCCGTGTCTACATAGTACCAATCGTCGAGCTCCCTCACGTCTTGTATTCAAGTCATACACTAATCAAGTCGAACTCAATGCCCCCCTATCTATGCAATGCATTACGTATTGGGGATCCAAGAAACCCGGTATGCTGGGAATAAGCTTAAACAAAGACAACCTTGGTAACGGTGGGAGTAGGCGCCGCAACGGTAACAACAGAGGCACTGGCACACGAGCAAGCCGTAAGATAGCGAGGCTCTCCAGAGCAAGCACTAGCATAGGTAGGAATAGACTTGGTAACATAAACAGTGCTTGATATCATCAGTCAAAGACCCCAATGAGGATTAAGTACATGTGGCTTACCTTGCATCAGGAGTAGTAGTGACCTGGAGATAAGCTTCACACTCAGCCTTGTAAGAAGCAACGACGGCAGGGCCACGGAAGCCAGGGACAACGGCTCGGGCACAGTTATCGCCGCAGCCGGAGCGCTCCTGGAGTTCCTTAGGGATGTTGATAGCCAGGACAGGGGCAATGAGAGCGGTGATGAGAGTGAGCTTCATGGTGAGGATCTTGGGATGTGTTTGTCAGAGAGAAATTTAAGAAGCTTAATTGATTGTTTTCTGGTAGACTTGAGTGAATAATTTACTGAAAATGATGAGGATGTGGGATATTTGTGTGCTCTTTATACACAACTACTTCACCTCAGCTCTATGCCAACTCCACATTGAACATACCCTTCCCCTGAAAACCCTTCCCACACCGATAAAAAGCCCCAACGGTTTTAATAAAAAGAACGCCTAGCACCACGAGGTTATCGCCATCGTCCATCGATTTCCCACGTTTTCTACAACTAGCGCACCGTTGGCAGCTCCTAGTCAGATATCCTAAACGCCACAGACCCAACCGTCAAAGGGGCATGAGCTGTTAACGAGGCGATCTAGATCGCACTAAGCACAAGCTGAGATCCATTAAAGGGAAGGTCAAACGGTCTTTTTCAGTGTTTGTCGGGCCTCGTGATAGTTTCGGGAATAGAAGTGGAAAATAAGGGGGAGACTATTTAAAGTCTTGGTCCACGAGTTCTGGATTGGGAAATCAGTTGCATTAAGGGTCTTGTCAGAGGAGCTGATATACTGAACGGGTAAGGCTTCACGGAGGCTAGGGAGAAAAGGATAGGGTCGAGTCACTGTCAGGGGGTGCTTGACAAGATGTTGCTTCTGCGGCGGGGATTCGCAAGCAATGGATGGCATGGGGCCTGCAACCAACAGGTAGACTGGCGTCGCAGAGTTGTTGGGCAACAGGACACCGATGTATAGACCAAAACATTCATTAGCCGGGGTAAATACTTATTAAGCATATATAAAACAATATCTGGAGAACACAAATAATGATGCTTCACTTCAGCGAAGCACCCGAGACTCAAATCTGTTACAGCCGGAGTAAGCTTGAACTATTAGCAAGCCTTGACTCTGACCATAAACACAACCTGTCGATTCAGACCACTCGGTCTGCCCAAGGAAAAGGAATGATACCTATCCTCCTTTCAACCGTCCATACCATCGCGAATGCGCAAGAAGTTGGCATACCGCTCCAAAGTCCAGCGACGCGACGCCTTGCCCCAAATAGCCATGGGCAGCGACGACATGATAATGACAAAGCTAAGAACACCAAGCTCGATGAAGGAGTTCTGTAGACCGGTGTCGATCCAGTAGCTGCACACGAATGTGAAGATGGTGGCGAGGGTGTTGTTGATGACGGCGACACCAACCATGCCCTCGAGAACCATGTCGGGATAGCTGTCGGCTAGATACGTGATGCTCAGATCACCAGCGCAACCGTAGCCGAAGCCGATAAAGCCCAGCGCGACGTAGGGAACAGGCCAGTCCCAACCATGCGCTGAGCCGATACCGAATAGCCACATACCCAATGGGAAGATGATCACGCAGAGGGCCATGAGGTAGAGACGGAACTCGGCCTCCATAATGCCGTTGTTACGTTTAGCCTTCCAGAGGATGAACTTGTCGCTGCAGTATCCGCCGTAGAAACAGCCGATGACACTTCCAATCAGACAAGGAATGTTCATGTTGGCGACAGCAGAGTCGCTGTAGTTGTACGGCTCGTTCACCCAGTAATCCTCCTCGACGGTGAGGTAGAAGGACAATGCAATGTTCTGCATTCCCCACTGAAGACCAGCGAACCAAACTGCGGGAAAGGAAAAGATGCGCATCGTGTGCCACAGGCGGTGGACATACTGCGTCAATCCCAAACCGCGCAGGTTGGACGCTGGAGTGATAAGAGCAATGCGCTGCCAGTAAGACTTCTTGCGCGCGAACGAGGCCTCGAGTCTGTTGCGCTCGACCTCCTCTCGTCGCACTGCAGATGCGGTTTGAGAGATCGCAGCTTCTTCGTCAATTGGAGGCGATAGGTTCTTCTCCTCGGCATCCTTGGTGACAACATGGTCGCCAGTAGCCGCGGGAATACCCTCAACATTGCCGCGGCTGGCGTCGCGCTCCTCAGCCTGGTGGAGGTTGAGGTAGCGATTGCGCTCAAAGGCTGTCTCCTCAAGACCGAAGTAAAAGAGGACGAGGGTGAAGCCTGAGGCAATTGCGCCCATGTGGCCAATCCAGCGCCACCCGACATTCTCTGCCAAATGGCCTCCGATCAAAGGACCAACATAGGTTCCGACTGTAGTGGCAAGGGTATACATACCCAGCGAAGTACCATTCTGGTGCTCGAACCAAATGTCCAGCAGAGACAATTGAACAACGGCCTCAGCGACAGACTCGGAAGCCCCGACAAAGAGCTGGGACCAGATCGTGTCGCCGGTGTTCTTCAAATGGCCGAACCAAATGTTGCCAATAAGACCCCATACCGTCCCTACCAAGTATAGAATTCGTCGTCCGTAAAGATGCGTCGCAGGCGAGCTGAGAAGCGTCCAGTATCCGATTGCGACAAAGAGCACACCAGCGCCCGTATTGAAAACATCGTAACTAATCCCGTATTGTTCATTGACACCTGTGCTTGCAGCGCCGGCGACATTGGAGGTGGCGGCGGTCAAAGCGACAATGTAGCACACGAGAAACGAATGCCAGGTCTTGCGCGCAAGACTCCAGTTCAATGGATCATTGGGAGACTTTGTCGGAGGGGGGACGAGGATGACATCGCCGTGCTTTTCGATACTGGCATCACCGGAAGCGACACTGGCGTGCTCGTCGGCGAAGAGACGTCGTGTACCCGGAAGGACTTCATCGAGATCGCGAGCTGATGGAACGGCCATCCGCGTCGATTTGCAGTGGTACTTGGTAGTGGGGTCTTGTTAAGTCGTCTTGGGGCAAACGGCTCCTTGGAGCCGCATTCACACGCGTTAAGGAGGATAGGTATGGGTATGCAGGATATCGATCGAGAGTCAGCAAGACATTGTCTGTATGCGATAGCGATTTCCTAGGTTAGAACAGAGCAGCGATCGCAGAGAGAAGGGGAGGGGAGGAAATTTTTTATATTATGCCCAAGGATCCATATCTTTCGGACCAGTCCCCCACCAGAAGGTTCATTCCCATGTCGGGCCGCAATGGGGAGACCGGAGCGATTCCACAAAGGGTAGTGCGTCTGACAATTTGTGGTACGTTTGGCTGGGTAGAATTGAAAAGGTTTAAGCTGTTGATGTCATGGTGTGGAAGACGGCACACCACTTCCGTGATGGAGAGATAAGGTCGCGTGCGTGTTTTGCGCTGGTATTGGACAGATGATCCCTGGGGCAAGTTGCCATCTTTTTTCTCGACAGTCTTCCCCGATGAGGTTCGGCGATCACTCTCAGTTTGAAGAGTAGTATTCTGAGTATAATTGAAGCGATGCGACGCACACGATAAGACTTTCAGACAAATTGATGTTGACGTTGCTGTTCCTGTCCGTTCGCGAAAAGTGTCCACTCCTCCAGCCATTGACAAATAGGCTCGGCCGACTGATTAGTCACCGGCCGACTTCCGTGTCAAGGTACGGAGTACCGTACAGCCCTCAACTGTAACAATCAAATGGGAGTTACCATTAGGTCAACTCCATTGAACCTTGACTTGGCCTTATCAAGGTCGCCAGCTCGGTTCAGTATCGCGATCGTGATGCAACCACATGCTTCCCCTTTTCTCAGCCATGAAGAAAAAACCGCATGGCCCATGCCTTCTGGACGCCAGGTCAAGGGCAAGGATTACTGGAGCCTAACAGCTCACCAGGTCAGCAACATGATTCAAGGTTTCTGGCAAAATTTCCATCCATGAAACGAAGTACGTTGCGGAAAAGTCGTGTCAAACATTCCTACGTCGCTCTCATACATAGTTGCTATACATCATTGCTGTGGTATCAAAATGTCCTGTTTTCCCATGATCCCATCTCAGCGCCAGACCTAGACCATCAAAAAGTCCACGTTCAAATCCTTGAGTTTCTGCAGCCAATTCATACATCCATCATCGCCATTCTCATGCTTCCACAAAATCTGCAACGTATCAATTGCAGAGTATAGAAATCCCCACGGGTTGATTTGCGCTACCGCCTTTAATCGATCCATAACCCACGCCCGGCTCTCCGGCGTCGTTGCCGTTGTTCCATAAATAAAGGTGGGCCAGCCCGTGGCTTTGAAGTTTGGGTCTTCGTCAGGCTGTGGTAGGAGCGTCTCGTAAAGATCCTGGATGAGTGTTTTGGGAACTTGGTCTGGCATCCTGGCTCGTAGTGCGGGAGCTGCCTGGATGATGTAGAGGCATGTTGCCAATCTGTGCGCGGAGCCAGTTCGGGCACTACTCCATAGGGCGGCTTTGCTTGCATCTGGCATTCTGTCCTTTGCCCATTTGAGGACGTCGAGACGTTGTACGCGGTCTAGTAGGTTGGTGAATTCGATAAGCGCTTCATTGCTGGAGACGTTCCCTTGAGCTTCGGCATGCAAAAGCTGTGCTGTCTCACGGAGGATGTCGAGAACTTCAGGTGGGCAACAGAAGAAAGAGTTGTTGGTTCGTGATAATGTTGCCTTGACTTGACTTGGTGCAAATGATGCTGCCTGGGTGCCCGGTTGTGATGGGTTGAAAGACAAGCTCAATGTGCAATAGCTACATGAGTCAGTTAGCATCGAGTCAGTCTTGAATTAAAAGTATCTCCACTTACACATAACAGTCCGCAACAATATAGTCTCTCAGAGTTGTGTCAGAGCCAGTATATGGTTCTATCATATTCAAAAGCTTCTTCGCGCCTTCGAGATGAGGCCGCCAACTTTGCCAACCAGACTCGATGAGCTCTGAGTTGATGAGAAACAAAACAGTAGCAAGAATTACATCGGCTCCAATGGTGTCAATATTTCGTAAGGCGTCGGGCATCATTTGCAGTCCTTTTTGTTTGGCAACGAGAGCATCCATAAGCAATTTCTTTGGTGCCTCTTCTCTTTCATATGAGTTAGGGCCTAGCCATGATCTTGATAAATTGCACATATGAGATGCAGATACTGCAATGATAATTTGTTGTAAAAATGAATGCTCATTTGTGAGTTGCAGAAGATTTAGATATGGATTTCTGTTACCGTTGGTTTGGTCATCACCAACGAGATCCAGGCTAACTCGAGTTGAATCTGAGTTGAGGGTTAGCATCATGAAAGACCAATGTCTTGAGAAGTCATACAATAATTCAAGTACCATCTCTGGGAATGCGTCATGTCCTGAAATAATGGATCGACCAACGTCCACGGAGAGTTTGATGATGTTGGTGAAGGGGGCGAAGGAGGGGACCATGGCTTAGTTTTGTTCAGAACAAAGAGTTGATTTTCCTGAGGCGACACTAAACCCCATGCCCCTGGCTCAAAGCCTTGAGTATCGAAGGATCCCATTTGCATATCGGAAGATTGAACATCGGATGGCACATCAATAGTCATGTCCGATTCACCTTGCTTGGGTAATCGACACACGGAGGCACTAGAACTCTGTCCAGCCAATTTCCCCCGCGTGGCTACTGAGCCAGTCCATAGAAATAGCCGGCCATAGCCCAGGCATTCAACCCCCCTGGAAGCGCATTTCGAGCAGTGCGGGATAGACCTATCGCAGCGAAGTCTCGCACGGCGACAGCTGTGACAGGCTTTCTTGGCTACTTGGACGGTGGTTGATGAGATACTGTCGCTGTCGGGGGGCGAAGTTGACATCGGATAAGATAAGTGGGATGGGAGAGATTGAGGCCTCAAACTGTAGCCTTGCCTCGTTGCTTATTAAGATAACCAGAGGCAAAACAAGGGGCGATTAGCGAGAAGAGTAGATGAGTGAGACAAAAACAATGGCACGTCGTGGGTAGGGTCTCGTTGTTGGTAGAAATGGATATAATTTTGTTGATCCTGGGATCCTGGCACCTGGTTTGTAAGATGTTTGGTTGATTTTGTTAATTCCGAAGCCCAGGCTGGGGAATGTCAAAGAATCGAGGTTCACGAGTTGGTGCCTTGAGATTCAGGCCGCCATCTCGGCTTAAGCGGAGCAATGCTAGGCATGGCCACGGGGGGTCTGGACCAGTCTATACCTGGATCAGCTAGAGCTGCGTGCCTCCGCATGCTATCGTCGTCAGCTGAGGGAGGCTTTGATTTAAACACCTGCCAAAAGAGATAAATTCACTTGCTTGAAGAGAGTTCGACACAAGATAAAGGGAGCTATCGAAAGTCTAAAGATAGATATCTCATCCCTATCCAGAGCTATCAATTCCCAACTATTTGAAATACACTAGATATGCAGATGCGTGAAATCACAATTCAAGAGTAGAATATCATGTATAATTCGTTGTGTGAGGTGCTTATCACCAGACCCTTTTTGCCACGTCTTCGCAGCATGTGATCCTCAATCATGAGTTATGATTATGAGATAGAAACTGTCTTCGTGAAACATGAATATTTCTATCTTTGAGCCAGGGGATCCCTCAAGTCCCGTCCGTACTAACCATGCAGAGACCAACAGCAATCGACGCGCCAGCTGATTGGCCCAAGTGATGCACCATGTTATGTTGCTCAGAACCAACAGTCAACCCAACCTCGTTCACTGCCTTGCCGCCAACCTCTACACTGATTTCAAAAATGACGAACCTATAGAAAAACTCCAATGTGAGGTTGCTTGCATGTCTCCTCGATGGAGACGACATTATGCAGAGCGATTATCGTTTTCTCGTCGATGGAAGCCTCGTAAAATACGTTATCACGGCGCTGGGCACATTTCTCTGCGATCATGAAGACCGTGCTTTCGAGCCTATTCTTCTTGGGAATCTCTTCCCCCAATTCCCTCCCGGAGACTGGAATAATGGCCATGTTGCTCGAGACCCGGCTACAGGGGAACCTTCATTCGTTAAGACCGAGATCGTGCAATTTCCTGGAGCACAGAACTGTTGGCATCCACTGAGGTTTAACGAGCTCGACCTTACTCGACAAGAGCGATTAAGACAGCGAGTTCACGTTTCGATGCACCCCGATATCAACGCTGGTAAACCTGTGCTGGTAAAATTTGCTGTTTGGCCCTGGGAGGTTGCCTATGTCGAGGCTGAAACTACAGCTTACGAATGGCTTCAGAACAGCGAGGTCGTACCCACATTTCTTGGTCATGTTACGGAAGGTAAAGATGGACGTGTAGTCGGATTTGTTACGGAGTTCATTGAGTATACAAGACCAGCAGAGTCAAGGGACATTGAGGAATGCGAAAAGGCTCTGAAGAAGCTACATGAACTCCGTATCAAGATGGGTGACACAAACAAGTTCAATTTCCTGGTTCGTGATGGTCACGGTGTGATGATAGCTGATCTAGAGACAGCTAAGCAAGCATGCTCACAAGATGAGCTCGATGAGGAGATGAAGGGTCTCAGAGCAAGCCTCGAGGACACTTCGTTCCTGGGTGGGAAGTATATTGTGGAAGAATAAACGATCTCGCTTTTCTATAAATGTCTCTATGTATGCATGCCTAACACTTCTTGCCAACATCGCAGTTCGACTCGCTACCATCCTCTGAACCATCCATGTACCGGCCAAAAGCATAAAGCTCAACATCGGTGATATCCTTTCGAAACTCCTTCGCCACCGTACGTCGGAAATAAACTCGCTTTGCCCATTTATAACCCTCCGCTCCAGCAAAGAAAACACCAACTGCAATAAAGATAACCGCCCATTCCCAAGTTATGGGATTGTGCATAAAGACAACATGGTTGATGACAGGGATGTAGAGTGTTGGTGGAATGAGAACAGTACTCAAAGTGACAGACCAAAAGAGGAAGGGATTCTTCCAGAGACGCTTGGTCCAGGCCTTAAAACTGCCACCCTTTTCGAAGATCTCAGCAAAGAATGAGCGGCGGAAGTCAACGAGTTGCCAAGCAAAGAGTAGAAAGTCCCATGTCATTGTGGTGAAAGCTGTTGATCTGGCTGTAAATACTGTGTCGCAGGAGGTAGAGTATTCGCTGTTGCAGTCGTGTCCCAAGCCTTGGTCGTTGAAGCCGTATAGAACGATGACTGAAGAACCAAGGATGCTGATGAGCATGAGGATACCATAGACCACGAGGTCAACTAAGAATTCTGGAGTGAAAACACCATACTTGAGCTGTTAAATGCGTTAGTGACAGGCACGTGAAAATAAGGTAAAGTCTTGACTTACACTTTGAGGTGGTCGACGAAGAATATCAGGACTCGCTTGCTCAAACCCAAGGCCAGTCTCCGTAAACGCTCCAGCAACAAGCAACATCCAAATAATCTCAACAGGTGTCAAGACAAAGATAGATACACCGCTGTCATCTTTGAAGGACAACCCTACCAGAAGGCAGGTGACGAAAGCGACGTTGGCAGCAAGGACATGGAGGATGAACTTCTGGATGTTGTCGAAAATCCGGCGGCCCTCTTCAATAGCATTAAGGATAGAGGCAAAGTTATCGTCGGTCAAGATGATATCAGAAGACTCTTTTGCAACATCCGAGCCATTGAGACCCATCGCAATACCGACGTCAGCGTGCTTCAAGCTAGGACTGTCATTGACTCCATCACCAGTCATGGCAACGTAGCGTCCCCGGCGATGCAAAGCCTCGATCATGCGAACCTTTGTCGTGGGAGAGCAACGCGCTACAACAAGCGGCAACTCCGGCATCGCATCGAGGTCCGCATCTGAAAGGTGGTCGAAATCATGAGCCGCCATAACCATCGTGTCAGCAATATCCCTCCTGACCATTCGCATTCGTTCTGGGGACGGGATGATAGCGACTTCAGCGGCGATGGCTCGTGCGGTTTCGGGATGGTCGCCGGTTAGCATGTGCACGCTGATACCAGCTTTCTGGCACATCTGCACACTATCGCGTGTCTCGGGGCGTGGGGGGTCATAGATACCGATGAGTCCGCGAAATACCAGGTCCTTCTCAAACTCAGATCTGTCGATGGCTGATGAGAGATCTTCAGGGAGGCCAGTGACAGGAGATCGACTAGCAAGGGCGAGAACTCGAAGACCAAGACGTGCAAATGCCTCCATGTTGGCCAAGATGGTTTCCTTTGCCGGTTCGTCGAGAGGCTCAATTCTACCAGACTCTTCCATAGATACACAGCTACCGAGAACCCGCTCGACTGCGCCCTTGGTGAAGATATGCGTATCTTTAGAAAGAGTATTTTGGAATACCACCGACATCTTCTTAACCTCTGAGTCGAATGGGAACTCAGCCAGCTGTTTCCATCTTGGGCTTGGTCCTGATGATAAAGACATGCGGTTCCAGTTGAAGCGAGTCACAAAGACTTGAATAGCAATTTCCGTAGGATCACCTTGTACAAGCCACTCTTCCGGACCATTGTCCTTGTGTCCTTTCTCTACGACAGCGAGATTGGCAAGGGAAGCGATATCCAGGTAATGCTTGAGTGCTTCGTTGGTATCGGGCTCATCATGGGGGTTGATGCTGTGTGACTTTGCTTCTTGGTCTTGTGCTGGTAGATCTGTAGGCTGTAAAGGAGTGAATTCAATACCTCCAACTTGAGGGTTGTAGGGTTCGTTCGTAGATTCCACTGAGTAAGTACCGTGTCCTGGAAGCCAGGCCATTCTGACCACCATCTTGCCTTGGGTTAGGGTACCTGTCTTGTCAGAGCAGATGTCTATCCATTTGTTAGTTCCTATAGTCACTGAAGTCATAAGAACACATAAATACTTACTGGTGACTCCTCCAAGTGCTTCCAAACTCTGCATGTTCCTCACAACAACCTTACGGCCCACCATCTGCTTCGTTCCCGCAGCCATAGTAATAGTCAAGACCAAGATCAAAGAGACAGGTAGTGTTCCCACGGCAGTAGCAACAGCGTAGATGATAACATCTTTGCGTGGGTCGAATTTGTTGGCTGCGAGGACAATGATGGCGCAGACGATTGCGAAGCCGAAGACGTAGAGGAATAGCTGCGATAGCTTCCTCTGGAGGGGAGTTCCCACGTTAACGCCCAAAAATTCTCCAATAACATCATACGTTGTGAGCAACCATTTGGTAAGATGCGATACAAATGATGCTTTGCCGTTGTCGTCACGTTTGACTTCCCGTCTCTTTCGTCCTGTGTCTTTCAGAGCAGCTGCAATAGCGCCTATCTCAGTATAAGCCCCAGTAGCAAATACAACACCTCTGCCACGACCCTTGGTAACGATAGTAGAGCTGTAGCAGACGTTGAGACGATCGCCCGGTCCTGTGCCATCATCGAACTGCATCGTAGGATTCTTGCGCACAGGCAGAGACTCTCCAGTGAGCAATGCCTCGTTTGACTCGAAGTTGGAAACTTCAAAGAGGCGAATATCAGCTGGTACAGAGTCGCCCATCTTGAGATCGATGATGTCGCCCGGTACGATTTCGCTTGTTTGGATCGTGATTGTCTTCCCATCACGGAATACGTTGGCCGTTGGGAGACTGAGAGACTTGAGAGAGTGGACGGTTCGAGCGGCTTGTAGGTCTTGGAAGAAACCTATGACAATGTTGAGGAGGATAATTAGAGCGAGAGCACCGCCTTCAATCCAAGCTTGTATACCGAAACTTGCGGCGAGGGCTAGAATGAGGACCTATATGTGTCAGTCACTGAGAGTCGGTGATAGCGGAAGATTGGCGTTACCAAGGTCATGCAATTACAGATCTGCTCAATGAAGATCTTGATGGGCTTCACGCCCTCTTCCTCGCCAAGATCATTGGGTCCATACTCAGCAAGCCGTTGCGATGCCTCAGAAGCACTTAAGCCAGTAGCCGGGGTCGTGTTGAGCTGTTGGATGACTGTATCAGCTGGCAAAGCATGCGCTGGGCGCGACAGCGGTTTGTTGGATTGACCAGAAACATGATGTCCCATGCCTGGGGGGGTTGACTTGGGAGACATTGTCGCTGCCACCAAAGGAGAGTGATAACTAAAGAAGATGCGTAACGAGAGGGATTCCATTCTCAAGTCATTGGCCAGGCAGCCTGATCTTATATACTTGGAGGTTTACATGGCGACTTTCACCAATTACACCTTGTGGGGAAGCCAAGAAACGGTGCAGCCCTCATGACTAGACCGACCGAAGCAACTTTTGCCGTTGTCATTCTGGCTGCTTCGTCAACCGTCCAGTCGTAGCAAATTTCATGACAGAAGATGGGGCTCTGTCTTGGCCTCCACGGGCCCCGAAGGTTCCATCAGCCCGATCAAACTGTAGATCTACTGATTTTGAATCTTAATATTCCGGTTCTAAGTCTTAAATGCCCGATTTGATGTCGTGTTAAGAGTCAAAGTGGCAGAAAACGATTCGAGATTGGCTGGCGGGAATATTTACGCTTATAACGAGTCTAAACTGTAATAGTGAGCCAAGACTCCAATGCATTAGCGCCTTTGCTATCAACGTCATTGGTCAGCCACTGGTCCCTCAGCCAGAGGTCCGTCGAGGTACGCTGTGGATTGCCTAAAGCGGTATTTGACAGCGGTGAAGGAGATTCGCCAAGAGCTGTGTTCGTTTATGCTTATTCATATTATCTCGAATTCACGGCTATTTCTGCCTCTTGGGTCAGAAATTCGGTGAAAAGTGGGCATAATCTAGTTTTTATTGATTTCTGTGACTCTTTTCCTCTCAAAGCCATGTAAGTGGGTCCGGGTGTATGTTGTGATGCCCCATAATCCCATTGTTGGTCCATCAAGATTTCAGAGAGGTCACGGCCGAATAGCGAAAGTATCTCTGTTACTCATGAGTTCTACAAACTTTTGTGTGATATCATAGTCACACCTTCTAGATCTTTGCGGAAATAGTCACTGAAATATTGACTATTAAGCTCTAATATCACGGTTGTTACATACAGTAAGATATTAAATTGTTCAAGATTCTATAAATGAGCGAATTCTTGTGTAGTCAGTCAATCAGAGTGAGCTCATACCGGAAATCCTTTGGCTATTGCCGTGATACGTTTTGCTTTATATGCGTGATGCAGGGATGAAGGTCACTTATCTGAGAATATTGCGCCAATCGACATAAGCGCAGCAGATGTTGCTTAATAATGCACCCAATGTCAGATTTACGCCCTTTGGACTTCTCTGTATTTATTTTGGCGATTCTCTTTGTCCTTGAGCGTTACCAAGCAACAGACGGTCCCCGATAGATATCACTTGTTATTCTTTGATCTCGCTCCATATGATATAACGCCATCATGGTTAAGCTCCCGTCACCCTTCGCCGAGATTCCTCGGGTACAGTTGCTTTTCGACCGACCCTCAGACATCGAGCGATTATCGTGCCTCAGCTCATCTATAGATGGGGGCGCGAGCTTATGGATAGCCCGTGAGGACCGCAACTCGGGCCTTGCTTTTGCCGGCAATAAAGTACGCAAGCTCGAATATGTCTTAGCGGATGCCATCGCGCAGGGAGCCGATACCCTTGTGACTACGGGCGGACTGCAATCAAACCACATGTGTCAAACTTCTGCTGCTGCGGCTCGACTTGGTCTTAAGGTGAGTTAGTTGCTAGACGTCACAGAAGCTCATTGACTGATTAAAAAGGTTGCTCTTTATCCGGCCAATCGTGTTGCATCCGAAGACGCTGAGTACAAGTATCTCGGCAATATCCAAGCAAACTCAATTCTAGGCGCTGAGACCTTCGCCCCAGACACCAGCGAAGAGACTGTGATCCGAATTCTCAAAGGTCGTGGGCAAAAGCCTTATTCAATCCCAGCTGGGGCGAGCACGCATCCTCTTGGAGGCTTGGGCTATGCACGCTGGGCATTTGAACTGCTTGAACAAGAAGCAAAGCTCGGCGTCACATTTGACGTCATCGCTCTTGTTGCGGGTTCTTGTTCCACGCTGGGAGGTATACTCGCAGGCCTCAAGTTGGCGCAAAAGCAGGGCATTACAGGGTATAAGAAGAATCTCATTGGATTTTCGGTATTGTATCCGAAGAAAGAGGATGTTGTTGAAAAGGTGTTGAGCATAGCAAAGAACGCAGCTTCAAAGATTGGCGTGTCTCCGGATGAGATCACGGAAGACGACTTTGAAATTGATGCTTCTTATATCGGGGAAGGATATGGACAGGTCAATGAGAGCACCGCTGATGGAATGAAGGAGCTAGCAAGAGCGGAGGGTATTCTGACTGATCCTGTCTATACGGGTAAAGCCTTCAACGGACTGCTCCATACAGCCAAGAGCGGCGGACTGAAAGGCAAGAATGTTCTTTTTATTCATACAGGAGGACAGGCTGTTCTTGGAGCTTATCCGCAGTTGAGATAGTCAGCTTGAGTAGAGCCATTATCGAGACTGCCGAGGCAGAAAACTCTAGGTAATCGTGATGAAGGTTGTTGAATCATTATCCAACAGAATAATCCATGGTCTAATTTATCGTGAGCGTTCCGCGGGATCTAGGGCCATTAAAATTCATTAACATTATTCAGCCGTCTCGCCACTACTCTAAATAGATTCATACAGTGATATATATCTATCCCTCAAAACATAAGCCCATGTCTTTCAACAGATCCTCTGCCCTTATATCGATTCCACCCGTTCTAACATCCTCAACTCCGAAGCCCAGGAACATCTCATCGCCAATGAATCCATGATACTTCTGCTCACGACTCTTCCAGCTCATAGATGTCACATAAAACATATCTGAAGTCTCCTTCTCGGGATACTTCTTTCGACCATGAATCCAAATAGGCTTTCTTGACATGGCATGAATCTCAAAGGGAGCCTGCTGCTTGAATAGCATAACATATGGCTCGTACACACTGTGATAGTTGAAGTAGGATTTATGCTGGTATATCACCATGATGAAGGTGTTGTTATCATCAGGGACACAAGAGGGTTCGTCTCGACGACACATGGTGACTTTGAGAGAATTGGTGGTCTGGTGGATGGACTCGAGGTCGGTTTGGAGTTTGGGGAGATATTTGGCCAGGCATTGCTCATCGCCTGCTGCGGCTGGTGCAAGATCAGGACCAGCTGAGCCATCGGGGTTCATTTGGGCAAACACCCTCTTAGGCTTGATGTCGTAGTGCGTATACATATTGCCGTTAGAATCCCAGAAGAGGAACCAATTCTTCTCAACCACATTCCATGGCAGTGGTCTTTGAAGCTCAGTGCCGACTCTGAATACACCCAGATTTTCCATATCACCCGACCAGCCTGTTAGTGTACGAAAGTCCTGAACGAACTGGCCAAAGCAAGTGTGTATGGAGTTTGAGCCATATGTCGTGTAAGGCCTATCAGGGCCATAAAACACACGTGCATCGTGTGGACCCATGTTCATATGGAAATATGCCATGTCGCCTTGACATTTGTCTCCTCCCACAGTCGCAGTGACAGGCAGAGTAGTGGGTGAGTGAAGACATCGAAGGACGCCGTCTTGGAATGCAGCATTGCAAACAAGCTCAGCAAACCAGAGTGAATTGCCGCCTTCTTGCAGCCATTGAGCTACGACAATCCATGTGTTTTCCAGTGTAGGATGGGGGATGAGATTCGGGTTGAGAGCAGTGAAGTCTCTGAAGTCAATCTCGAAGAACTTCTTGTCTTTGGTAGATAACGAGAAGACTTCAATGTGTGTTGCGCTGACATCTTGAGGAACGATACCCTCGCCGAAAGGTTTGTCTTCTGGCGTATCTGTCTTGGCAGCCGGTGACGATTGAACTGGCAACGCTTTTGTTGTGGATGGTTCTTCGTCAGCCAAGAGCTCTTGCTCATCCCCAGGTGACTTCTTCAGCTGTGATGGAACCCATCCTTGAACGTGGGCAGGAAAAGATGATGGATCAAGATAGAGCTTCAGAGCAAAGATAACAAGAAGAAAGACTGGTATCACAAATAGCACCAGCTTTCGAGAATCTCGGACGAGCATCTTGAAGCATTCAATGCACGTCGTAAAGAAGCGAATGTGTCGGAGAATGGAGTTTGATGCAGGCGGGGTCTAGTGAAGCCCTTGAACGATAACAATGCAGCTGATTGTGACTGTGACTGCGCCGTACGTCATTTAACTAATCCTTATTCGAACCACACTCCGTGGACAGGGGTCAACCGTAAGATGACCCTTTACGCCGAAGAGGAGCTGAGAGATTATTCACGCGGGAGATGCGGAGTCTGGAGATGGTGATATCCATGCAGCCACGGCAATTGGCTTTTTACTAAAAGACCAATGACATTTCAAGGACCCTACGCAGCTGAAGATGGGTTGACGGGGACAACCTGGCAGATTGTGACATTCAATGCCGCCGCAATTCGACGTCGACACATTTTTCATATGCATGCCGAGGCTGCTGAGGTACTTTTGCGGGGTGACATTGCACTAGTGAACGGCGCAGGTTCCTGAACAGGGGACGTTCCTTTCTGATCGTGGAGGTGTGCAGATCTTAGTCGCGGGAGCGGGGATTAGCGTAATGAGAAGAGGTTGGGGTTCCTGACATGGCTTGGTAATACGAAGCCGTTGCATTCTTCGACGGCAATCTCATGCAGGTGACCCTCCATCACTTGGCGGTGAGCCGAGAATCACAAGCAAAAAGAGCATGCGACATTATGCCCCAAATCGATCTGACATCGGAGGTCTGAGGGTAGATATCTTCAGATCTAACGGTGGGAGAGCTGAGACTAGCATGGCAATGACACATGTGATGTTACCGAAAAGAATTAAGCTTGATTTATTCTGCATCAAGATTTATGCTACGCTCTGGCCTGCTTGCTAGTTGGATCCCCCAACGCCTTCTTATAGAACCACGCTGCAAACTTAACGCTGGGCGTGTCGATAAACCGTGTCACGACGTCAGCTAGCCCGAACGTCAAGGGCACGAGGATCAGCTGAGGTAGTAGAAATGAGATCTCCAATCCCAAGGGCCCAGACATTGGCAAGGCTAGCTTGTTTGCCCAATGGGGAATGTTCTTCATGATCTCCTCGTTCTGCCACCCCGCTGCCACGTAGAGTCTCTCACCAATAGTCCATAACACCGGGCCGTGGACAAGATATAGAGCGAACGAGATACGTCCGAGCCACTGGCAAAATCTCGTCTCGAAGAAGCTCTTCAGCCAGAAGATTCGAGGGATAGATGCAACTAAGAAGACAGCTGCATAGAAGAGGTAGAACCATTTGTAGTCAAACACTGCTTGAGGCTTGAACCATGAAAGGTAGTAGAAACCCCTGTTCTTGGCAAGCTGCTCAACATTGCGGTTCTCAGATGGGACCCCACCAAGGAACAAGCTGAAGATCAGGAGATGGTAAAAGATAAACTCCTTGGCAGGTTCTAGACGTGCCATCCAGCGGGGCAGATCGCCCTTGCTGGCAAGAAGATCCAAATCGCAGAGCAGCATACCAGCCGTGAACATGGAGTAGAATGACCCATCTGCAATGTACATGAAGTAAAAGATCAAACCCGCCTCACACCAGAGACGAGCATTCTTCGAACATCGAGAGAACGCCATCTGTGCTGTAAAGATAACGACAGAGCCTTTGAATTCAATGGGGATAGACCATAAGTGGCGGTTGTAGGTCAACCATGGCTCTCCACCTTCTTTGAAGACGAAACTAAAATTCTTGAACTCATAGTAGAAAGCCCAAAGTTCGTCGTACCAGCTCTTTTGCTGCGTCATGATTCGTACCCAGACGCCAAATATGTGTAATAATGTGATGTAGACGAGCATAGACATGATGAGAGGGAGGTAAAGGCGAATCCAGCGCCTGAAGAGCGAAGATGCTATGACATCGCCCAATTGCGCATGCTCCCCAGACTGAATAAGGCCCATTGGTTTGAGCGACAGAACATAGCCTGAGATGATGAAGAATGTCGATACCGCGTAATGACCGCCTGTGAAGAAATGCCTTATGAAGGGGAATGATGCAAAGTAATGCTTTCCTCCATAGCCAAAGGCATTTTCGAGGATTGCGTTCTGGCCAACGACGTCGTGTACCCAAAGTTCATGATGATGGAAATACACGAGAAGAGCTGCGAAACCTCGAAGACCGTCTAGGTAAGCTGTTGGACGGAGGTTCTCTAGAGGCCGTGTTCTGGCGCGAATGGCAGCTCTGGTGGTGTTGATGATGTGTTTTAGTTTGCCGCCTGCAGCCGCTGGTTTCCAGGATGAGTAGGACTTTGCAAGTGTCCAGTCTGAGCTTGAGTCCGTCTTGACTTCATCCCAGTCGTCGCTGTCCAAGAGACCACTTGTTCGAGGCGACATTTTGAGACGATTTGGGGCTTTGGAACAGAAAACTTGACAATTCAAGATGTTGTCTGTTCAATTGATGAAGACGAGGGACCTGATGTACTCCGCAACTCCCGATATGCGACTCGGAGAAAAGCCCCAACTAAGAATCACAAGCCGAGGAAAGCATGTGTAAAAATATGACAAAGAACAAAAAACAAGGCCCTTGAAGATGGGGTAATTATCACGAAGCAGGGATTGGGACTTTTGGTGTGCGGAGACCAACGGCGTGAAAAGAAAATCATCATCTCCATGGAGGCATATCTTCGTTCTCATGACGTTGCACCGCGGTGATGTTACATGGGGGCCAGCGTTGCAGAATCCTTCCATAAAAGCGCCTTTATTAGGACACCACGGAAATTCGGCAGCCACAGTGAGTAATTAACTCAACCAACAATGGATGAGGATGTATGGGTTGGGGCGGGAGGCTTGTATGATTAGGGAATGGTTCGTGTGCGGGGATTGGGGACAGGGGCTATATCCGAGGCTCGTTCCCCGGATCACAAGCCAAGGCGGGAGTTGTATGCCTAGTATCAGAACGATTCTATGGGTGGCTTGACGTTAGACTTCTGCAAGGCACGTTAAAGCCACAATGTCTGTGGCATGATGATCTTGATACTGCCAATTACAGTTTATACACACGTGCCGACCTATTCTTAGAGAGTTTCACTACTGGTATAGCTGGACATCAAGACGACGCTTCACAACCAACAACCTCACTTTCTGATGCATCACCAACTCGGCCAATTAATTACCCCATGCCCCATCGCATCCCCCCAGAAGCACGGCCTCGTACCCCAGGTCGCTCCAACCCACCTCCACGATCCCCCCATCCTCCGGAGGAGCTGCCTTTCCTGGAAGTTCTCTACTCAACCCCTGCCGAGATGCACAACAATCACATGGGGTCAGCCATGGATTCTCTCTCCACAATCCTTCTTCGGTCCTCTTCCGCAGCTGCAAGACGGTAATTTGATAAGAAAACGTCTCTCTCGTCTTGTGAAAGCTCCGTAGTTCTTTTCTTGGTAAAAGCTTGGTTACGTCGAGTTCCACTTAAGGGTTCTAGGGCTCAGCTGCATGTTGCATTTTCCATCTGCAGATAACTCTTTTTTCCCTCTCCTCGTTCAGTGTCTCTTCTGCTTTGTCTGCAGAGAAGCTTCTTGCCTGTGAAAACGTCTACAGGTCATGGCGAGTGGCCCTCGTCGAAATATCCCGTCTAACCTTCGTATCCCTCCTACCACTGTTGAGTGGACCGTTACAAAGACCGACAGCTACGATACCAAGATGGGCACTCCATTGGGCTCGCCAACTCTAGCAGCCTCGACAGCAAAGTTCAGAAACAAAGTCCCAGCCCAGATGCAAAGATGTATACCACTGTACATGGCATGTGTCCTCGTCCTCTTCATCATCCTTAACTTCGACATCTTCTACTCGATACCCAGCCCCCTCGGCGTGTTCCGAAAAGAAAAAGAGATTGTATCAACACCATCACGCTTTAGCACGTTTCCACAAAAGATCTGGCAAACGTGGAAAGTGGATCCATTAAACTTTGAGGATCGTGACTTGATCACCTCAAGGACGTGGGTTAATAAGAACCCTGGAATGCGATATGAAGTTCTCACAGACGACAACGAGCTTGCGTTTGTGGAGGAGCACTTTGGTGCGGGGAGTGCGATAAATCGGCCAGATATTGTCAGGTTTTACAAGAGCATCAACTTGCATATTATCAAGGCTGATCTATTGAGATACATGATCATGTATGCTCAAGGAGGTGTCTACGCAGACATTGACGTCGAAGCGCTGAGACCTGTGCATCGTTTTATCCCCGAGCGGTACGACGAGAGAGACATTGACTTGATTGTTGGTGTTGAGATTGATCAGCCCGAGTTCAGCGATCATCCTATCCTAGGCAAGAAATCAAAGTCTTTCTGCCAATGGACTATCATTGCAAAGCCTCACCAACCAGTCATGCTACACCTTATCGAGCACATCATGGTCTGGCTCAAGGCTGAAGCAAAGAAACAAAAGGTTGCTCTTGGAGATATCGAGCTTACCTTTGACCAAGTCATCAGCGGCACTGGTCCTTCTGCCTTTACAGGAGCTTTGCTGGAGCAGATGCGCAAGAATCATCGTGGTGGAAAGGTCACATGGGATCTATTCCATAACCTGGATGAGTCCAGAGTTGTCGGTCGGGTTCTTGTTCTCAACGTCGAGGCCTTTTGTGCTGGACAAGGCCACTCAGACTCTGGCAACCACGACTCTCGTGGAGCCTTGGTCAAACACCACTACCATGCCTCCAACTGGCCCAGCAAGCATCCTCGCTATCGTCATCCAGCATACGGTCAGGTTGAGGACTGCAACTGGAACGTGGAGTGCGTGAGGCTCTGGGACGAGAACGTCGCTGAGTGGGACAAGCTCTCGGAGGAAGAGAAGAAGTTGAAGATCGAGCAGGCCAAGAAGCCTGATCTTGGTCTATGACCTGTAGAGATTGATATTTAGAAGTGCTCTGGAGATCGGCGTTGAGTTTGAATTTCGGAACCCGGATACCTGAGGTCATATAAACGCGTAATTGATGAACGAGACCAAGTAAAGTTTATAATCTTCCGATCATGCCATTGTCCAATTATTGTATCCCGTGTGAAGTGCCGCGTCTATCTTAAAGTCTTGCATTCCTTGCATCTGCGACTGTGGCTTGGCGCATGTTCTATGAGCCGAGGCATCGACAAGGGTAGACCAACTCTATTTGGGGTGATCCAACCCCGCGCGTCCCGAACCTCCGTATTCATATTCTGCGCGTCTGCGCCGCTTCCTTCTCTTTTCCAAAACATAATCACACAATTTAGTTATGGCTCCTCAAGAAAAACAACCCGTCATCATTGTCGGCGCTGGCCTGGCTGGCCTCGTCGCAGCCTTTGAACTCTCAGAGCGCAAAGTCCCAGTTCTGTTGGTCGATCAAGAAAATGAAAACAACATCGGCGGACAAGCTTTTTGGTCGCTGGGTGGTGTGTTCATGGTCGATTCTTCGTATCAGCGAAGAATGGGAATCAAAGACTCAAAGGAATTGGCGTATAGAGATTGGATGGGCTCAGCGAGATTTGATCGTGAAAAGGAGGATTACTGGCCGCGTAAGTGGGCCAAAGCCTTCGTGGATTTCGCCACAGATGAGATGGAGGATTATGTCAGGGCGAGAGGCCTCGGCTTCTTGATGAATGTTGGTTGGGCTGAGAGAGGTGATGGTACTGCAGATGGCCATGGAAATTCTGTTCCAAGATTCCATGTTAGCTGGGGTACAGGACCAGAGGTCGTCAAGGTCTTTGCAGACCCTGTCAAGAAAGCCGCAGAGAAGGGCATCGTCACCTTCAAGTTCAGACACAGAGTTGATGAGTTGATCATCGACGACAACGGACGTGCTGTTGGAGTACGAGGCACAATTCTTGAAGATGATGATGCTGCCCGTGGAGTCAAGTCGAACCGGGTCGAAAAAGACAAGTTTGAAATTTACGGCTCAGCAGTTGTCGTTTCTTCCGGCGGCATTGGAGGAAATGTCGATGCCGTCAAAGCTGCATGGCCTGTCGAGAGATTAGGTCCCAAGATCCCAGAGACCTTCGTCGTTGGTGTTCCCCATCATGTTGATGGACGCATGATCGGTATATCCGAAGATGCCGGCGCGAACGTCATCAACCGCGACCGAATGTGGCATTACACTGAAGGTCTTCAGAATTGGAACCCCATCTGGCCAGACCATGGTATTAGAGTCCTCCCTGCCCCTTCATCTCTTTGGCTCGATGCAACTGGCAAGCGACTGCCACCATTCCTCTACCCAGGTACCGATACCCTTGCGACGTTAAAGTATATCTGCAGCACGGGATATGACTACACCTGGTTCATCCTCGACCAGAGCATCATCGCCCGTGAATTCGCCCTCTCTGGCTCAGAGCAGAATCCCGATGTTACTAATAAGAGCATCTGGCTGCTTCTCACCCGAATCTTTGGCAAGAAAGGCACCGTCCCTGTTCAGAACTTTCAAAAGTACGGCAAGGACTTTGTCGTCCGCGATAACCTGGAAGATTTAGTAGTCGGTATGAACGAACTCGCCAAGAAACGCAATGGTCCGCTACTGGAGTTCGATGCTATCAAAGAGGTAGTGGAAACAAGAGACGGCCAGTTTAACAACCCATACTCAAAAGACGCACAAGCAATGCTTATCAATAATGCGCGAACATACTGGGCTGATCGCCGAAGCCGAGTTGCTCCGCCTCATAGACTACTTGACAAGGCCCATGGACCTTTGATCGCTGTGCAGATGAACATTCTTACGCGCAAAACTCTTGGCGGTATTGAGACGAATCTGGATAGCAATGTCATGCGAGCAGACGGCACCCCGTTCCCTGGGCTATACGCAGCTGGTGAAGTTGCGGGCTTTGGCGGTGGAGGTGTACATGGGTATAATTCTCTTGAGGGAACGTTTGTTGGAGGATGTATCTTCTCGGGACGTGCTGCTGGAAGGGCTCTTGTTCGTGAGATCTTGGGTGAGAATGATTCCGATGGAGGAGAGCTGAAGAAGGTGAACTCTCGTCTCTGAGCTGGTGATCGGAAATCTTTCTTGGTTTGGCTTGATTTTAGCGCATGTTGCAAGTAGAGATACGTTTGATGTTGATACAAGATCAGTATGAGTAAGATATGACATTCCTTTATGTTGGCAAAAATGGTTGTCCCGATATGCGTATGCCGTGAGATCAACGTTTCATTTATCTGCAAGGAACAGAACAGCTGTCCTAATGCTGTCAGCATTTTATCTACAGATGTAACCTGACCGTACGCACACATTTGAGTCATTGTAACCATAAAAATTAATCAGAACCTCATATTGGGCTCAGCAGACTGCCAAACAATTCGTCTTTTGGTCACTTCAGGGTAGTCAACATCTGATTCCATGGCTGAAACCACATCGGCTGGCATGGCCCTACCCGAAGCCACGCCTCGGAGTGGCGCTTGAACCCATGGATATCCATGGCTAAGGCTGACTGGCTGCAGGGATCATCGGGCGTCTAAGCTCGAACTTGGGCCTGGCTGGCTTGGATCGCGTGGCTTGGTGAATTTATCCCTCAATGGCGGTAATTGTTTATTTTTATACAACACGGTTGATTTTAAGCTTTAAACGTAAAGATCAGATCTGATTACTGTACAAGTTCATCTAAATAAGGAGATTTGGTCAGTGTCTCAACTCATTGAACCGAAAACTATCCTCCGTTGGGTATCTTTACATATCCGTGCTATCGCCACTAACTCAATTTCAATTTCCCGTCGCTGCAGCCTCAGTCGGAGTCTCTTATAAATCCGCTCCTAATCCACGCCATTAAATTAATTTTGGTATCAGAAGGATCCGAGCTAGTGGTCTCGAGTGTCAGAAAGCGGAACTCCTACCTATAATCTCACCGTCTCACTGGACAACACCCCGGCCCCCAAAATTTCTCCTTCAACGCTAAGACATGGATCTTCACCCATCGGGGCTGAGTGATGAAACAGAGACTGAGCAACTGAGCGTGGTGTCTCCCCTTCTACTACCTTTTCTCTTCTGCTTTTATCATCTTGGCCTGCTGAGACTGGTTGACCAACAAAAACTCGTGATAGCCTCTTGTTAAGGATCGCGAGGCTGAAAGTTCTGATATTCTTTGAGAGAAGCTCTATAACGACATAATGCTCGCCATCTTACCCTTCACCGTACTGCTGGGCAGCTTTGCCGCCAGAGTTGCTGCTGACACCAGTTTTGTTACCCCTGGAGGATCTGGTTCTTCGGGATGGAAGAATAACCCAACATACGATGTCGATGATAGCATGAACGTGGAATGGAATACGGACCTTGAAGAGACCAACCTATTGCTCTGGCAGGACTATCCTCCCGCTGGCGGCGGTACTCAGTTTTTCGTCCAGCTGAAAGGTACACGCGCGCGTAGACTCTCCGAGGTCCCTATCAGCTAACATCTGATGCCTAGAAAACACAACATCGACGAGTTTTATCTGGACAGTCAACTTTGGCGGTTTCTCTACAGAAGTTGGTGACAACCGAGACGCTGTTTTCCACTACTCCCTCTTCAAATCCGGCACAAACGACATCGTCGCCAATTCAGCTGCGTTCAACGTTACTGTCCCTAAAGACGAGACGACATCTGCCTCTCTTGCTTCAACAACCGCCCTCCCAAGTCCTTCATCGACCGGTGCCCTCTCTGAGACGACAACAACCGACGCTGCGACCGAGACAACAACAGACACTTCCTCCGACAAAGATGATGGAGGCCTCTCCACTGGTGCCGTAGCCGGCGTGGCGGTCGGCGCGACCATTGGAGGTATTGCCCTGCTCGCCGGTGCTGGCTTTCTTCTCTGGCGACATTTCCGAAAGGGCAAAGGTGCTACAGCTGGAGGATACGCGCCGCCCAGTGAGATGCCTGTTGGTGCGCAGAACCAGCCTGTGCAGGAGTACTACAAGCCTCCCACGCAGCAGGCTCCGGCTGAGATGGCCGGTCAGCCTTGGGTTCACCCGTCGCAGAACGGATACCAGGGACCTGGTGGCCTTCATGAGGCGCCTTAGTTGATAATAAGATGGATGTAGAGGGGGATTGTGTATAACCCGAGGGTCAAAAGGTTTCAAGATGTTGTATAGCAAAGCATGGAGTTGATTGGATCAGCCGGTGATATGTTTCTTAATTACCCATTTCAATACCAAGAATTTTATTAACAATATCTTCGTCTCATCGGCGCAACAGTGAGTGATGACCAGTAAAGATAGCGACATCTAAGCAACCTCTAACATGATGCTTTACTCCGAAGTAAGGAAGCAATATCACTGCCTCCTAAAGATTGCAGCAAGTACAGCCTAACCTGCCTTTCTTAGTTCCCTTCATTCTTCTTCTCCAGTTCCTTGGCGAGTTTCTTCTCCCTCTCCCTCACATCATCCGTCACACTGTCCCCAAAGTCAACCAACTCAGCAATCTTCCTGACCGTGACCTCGCCCTCCTTGAAAGGAATTCTCTTCGCCCAGCTAACAGCTTCTTCACCGTCTCTGGTCTTGAGAATCCACCAGCCACAAACGTGCCCTTCTCTCACAACGTCAAAAGGCCCCTTGGTGACCTGTGCAGGACCATCCATGGAGTATGTAACACGGTAGCCATCTTTGGTTGGACTGAGGCCATCGGCTGAGAGAAGAACGCCAGCTGCATGAAGCTCTTCGTTAAAGGTGGTCATCTCTTCAAAGATCTCGGGTCCAGTGGAAGTTGGGTTTTCAGCTTCTGGAGAAGCTTTGATGAGGATCATATATCGAGGCATGATATGTGCGTGCTCAAAATGACAGCTATGAGGTTTAAAGGTTGATAAAAAATTGCAGGAAAGCGGTTCTTTGAGCTGCCGATTCAACGGGAGCACGCCCTTCTTTGTACAAGTTGAGCTTCAGCCCTTTCCATGAGACCTGGTAAGCTGAGGCGCTTTTGGGTCAAGACTATTGGTGAAACTTCGTCGATCGTCACCATTGCGGTTACTCAAAGTTAAAAACAACACTATACCAAACTCAGTGGCGTTCATGATCCAATGAAAACAAGGCAATTAACTAGTTGCTGCCTGTTGCGAGGACGAAGCCGAAGAGTGATGGTAATTGCAGGATAAGCAAGCTTCTTGCTGAATGAGAACTCGGCATGTTTCTTTATCCGCAATGGACAGTCGTGAAAATGTTCAGCGAGCCATGGGACCTTTCTTCACGGGCACCGTGAAGTTTGAGAAATGATACTCAAACGCCACAGACGTATTAGGCTTCGTAATTTGTATCCCGATGCATGAAATCAACAAAAATCTACTTTGTGGTAATTCTTGGGTTATCATGAAGTTCTGCTTCCCTTGGCAGCCATGATGGCATGCCGTTGGACGTCCGTTGAACGTTCACCACCTGAGACATAGTATATATGATATGATAAATCCATTTAACAAATGCATTGTTCCGTAAAATTGGTTCAAGACGAGTCTTTTGCAGGACTCGTAGTTCAATGTGCTAGTACACTTTAGTGGTAGACTTCTGCCGTATACACTGTATCCTGTATCTCATAAACCATGATTCTGATATTGGCACCAACGCCATGAACTACTCTATATCGAGAGATTCGTATCTGTTGTATGAAGAGTTTGAATAAGTCGTGTAATCTTTCCTCACACCATTCAGCTCCCAATGACGTGCTTGGCTGAAGTTCAGATAATGGGTCGACATGTCAATTTGAGTGGGCATGATAAACCAAGATAGGAAGCTGGGGCGATTATCCTTGATAAATCACTCCACACAACGTGGGACCTGTTGGCTTCAAATGAATAGGATGCAATGTCGACATTTTCTTTTCACCAAATTAAAAATATAAATATCACACCCCACCAACAGATTACCATGGCGGTTAATTTTCATGCAAACTCGCCTGTTCTCTTGCTGAACTATGGCAGATGACAAGGCCATCGAGCCCGCTCCCATTGGGGCTGATGAACCAGACTCTTCTGACAACTCGGTCAAAAATACCCATGCTGATGTAAATGACATTCCAAAGCATGACCATCATGCCCACAGAGACGGAGCAGATGCTGCCCTTGACTTGTTGAATGAAACGGGCGGAATCAGTCGACCTTTCGATGCCAAAGCCAACAAACGACTCATCCGCCGCATCGATACTCATATCATGCCTCTCATTTGTACTGTCTACTTCTTACAGTACATCGACAAGACTGCAGTCTCTTACGCAAGCGTTACTGGCATCCAACAATCAACTGGTCTCAAGGGAAATGAGTTCAACTGGGTCGCTTCGATTTTCTTCTTCGGTCAACTCGGCTTTCAATTCCCCACCGTTCGTCTTCTCCAAGTATTCCCTCTCGCGAAATACGTCTCAGTTAACGTTACACTTTGGGGCGTGACTCTCGCTTGTATGGCTGCATGCCACAATTTCAGTGGTCTTCTAGCCTGTCGATTCTTTCTTGGTGCCCTCGAAGCCGCCATTGTCCCAGCATGGGTCCTTTTCACATCCCAATGGTACACGAAAGAAGAACAAGCTTTTCGAGTTGGCATTTGGTTTTCTGTCTGTGGTGCCGCTCAGATGTTTGGTGGATATTTTGCTTACGGTGTTGCAACGCATGTTGGCAAAGATCCAAATGCTGCTCTGAAAGGATGGCAAGTTATCTTCCTTGTTCTTGGTCTCCTCACCGTTGTGGTTGGGATCAGTTTCTGGTTCATCATGCCAGACTCTCCTGCAGTCGCTGGATTTCTGGATAAAGAGAAGAAAGCCATGCATCTTGAGCGCATTCGAGGAAATGTGCAGGGCATTGGTACTCAGACATTCAAGTGGGCTCATGTTAAAGAGGCCTTGACTGATAGCATGACTTGGCTATATGCCTTCTGGGTCTTTGCTGCCAACATCCCGAACTCTATTGCTACCAGCTTCGGAAATATTCTTGTCAAAGGTATGGGATATACCAATGAGGAGTCTCTGTTGTTGGTCACTCCCCTCGGAGCTTGGGAGATCGTCTTCCTGATTGGCCTGACTTATGGAGCTATGAAGACAAGACAACGGTTGTTCTTTTGCATTGCTGGTCATATCCCTGCTATCGTCGGAGCCATCTTAATGGCAACCACTGAAAAGGTTCCCGCCCTTATTGGATACTACACAACTGGAGGCATTCCCATTGGCTGGACCACTATTCTAGGACTACAAAGCTCCAACGTCGCTGGCTCTACCAAGAAAATCACCGTCTCATGTATCGGAACTATCGCATATACTGTTGGAAACATCATCTCACCTCACACCTTTCAAGCTCGTGATGGACCACGATATCTCCCCGCCAAAATTTCCATCTGCATCATTTACTTCCTTTGCACCATTGACTTGCTAGTCATGAGATGGGTCTTTAATCAAAGGAATAAGAAGAGGGATGCCGAGAAGGCTGCGTTGGGTGATCAGTACGGAGTGGAAGAGAACCATGAGTTTCTGGATTTGACGGATCTGGAGAACAAAGAATTCCGCTATGAGCTGTAGATAGAACTTACCAAGGCCGTAGGCTTTTGGACCAGTGTTTCCAAGTCTACCTCTGATGTAATCTCTATACACCTTGGTTTCAATACTGCATTATATAGTCTATTCATTAGCATACCATAAAATTGAAACGATCATACTATCATGTTATACACAGTCTGTGAACTCAGTCTCTTGTATTGAGTGGATTTGCAAGGTCATCTTCGGTGATTTGATAATTTGACTGAACCTGAACGTCACAGAACGTTCCCACTCACATAACTCTCTTTTTATTTATCTTTTTGAGGCTACTTTCAAGCATATCTACTGCGGAATCTTATGTTCACTTGCAGGCACGCCGGCAGCCCACCTATACTTGGAAGCAGCATGCTCCTCGAGAGGATACTTCTGTCCAGGAAGGCCATAGAAGTTCTCTCGGTAGCTACCGCCAGGCACCGCGTAATCGTCCCAAAAGAGGCCCCTTGATCGAAGTTCTGGGAGTAGAAGTTCGATGATATCTTTGAAGGTACCGGGGAACAGGACGTATCCCTTCTCACAATTAGAAACACTCCTAGATTGGGTGTATATGGACTTACGAAGTTGAATCCATCGACATCTGCCTCATCAATCCATACTTGCAGGCTATCAGCTACCTGAGAGGGTGTGCCGACAAACAGAGGCCCGTTGCCTCCAAGGCTGACATGCTCGGCGACCGTATGCTTCGTCCACTTTGAGTTTGCGGGCGAGAACTTGGCGTAACCTTCTACAGTTGATCTGAAGAACCATATGAGTTGAGGCACTTTGGTGTTATGAGGACGAAACTTACCGAACAGCATTACTTTCAACCTGTCGAAGTTCCTCATCATCGCCGTATTGATTCAAGTCCATACCCGTCCATCCACCGAACAGTGACAAAGCACCTTCAGTCGAAGCATACTTCCTCGCTTCATCATACTTAGCCCGAGCTTCCTCCTCAGTCCTACCAAGAATAGGTGTGACAAGAGCGAGGACCTTGATATTGTTTGGGTCTCGGCCAAACTGTTCCTTCGCAACCTGTCTAATCTCCGCAATGTTCTTCTTACACACTGCAGGTGCATGTGCAGAAGTAAAAATAGCTTCAGCATGCTGAGCTGCAAAGGCCTTACCTGGCTTGCTGGCTCCTGCTTGAAGAAGAAGTGGTGTTCGCTGCGGGCTGGGGTCCACGACGTGAGGACCGGGAACGTTGAAGTATTTACCGTTATGATCAATTTGACGAACAAGGGCGGGGTCCGTGTAGATACCTCGCTCACGGTCTAGCTTGACAGCGTCGTCACGCCAGGATGAGTTGAAGAGCTTGTACATGACTTCCATGTATTCTTCGGCCTGGGCATAGCGTTCATCGTGCTAACTATCATTAGAATCTGGATTTATTACTTCAAGGAGATCACACTTACGGCGAGTTGAACTGGATGACCAAGGTTGCGAGCAGCTGAGTCCAGGTAACCAGTGACAATCTGTACGTCTCATTAGTAGCGAACTTAGATTGATACTCGACATCCTTACGTTCCAGCCTAGACTGTTGAAAGCGTTAGTTGGTTCTTCTAATGAATAACAGAAGACTTACCGGCCCTTGGTGAGGTGATCAACTGTTGACAACCGTCGAGCAAGATGATATGGCTGTTCATAGGTAACAGAAACAGTGGCACCAAATCCAATATTCTTAGTCGCAGCAGCCATGGCAGGAATGACAGCCAGTGGCTCTGTAAGAGGCCATTGAGCTCCAGAGATAATAGCAGGTTCCAAGGACTTCTTGTACACATCGTAGCCTCCTATTTCAGTTGTTAGAACTCTGAAAGCTACTCCTCATCATCCAAGTCTCTTACCCAACACATCAGCAATGAAGATGCCATGAAACTTGGCGTCTTCTAGCAACTTGGCCAATTCGACCCAGTGCTCAGTGTCTTTGAACCTCCAAGACTCATCCTCGGGGTGTCTCCATAATCCTGGCGATTGATGACCACTGCCTAAAGTCTTATCAGTATATCTTGTATGACTGGGGTGAGGGGGTACCTACACATCATGACAAAGGCATTGACGATAAGGCTCTTCTTCTTGCCCTGCTGGGCCGCTTGATTCTGAGATGCCATGATGTTGACTGTCAAAAATGGAACTGATCTGATTGGATTATGCCTGACTTCGTTGTTTAGGTGGTAATGTACTGGTTCCCAGCTTATTCTTCTTTTAAGACGCTCCGGATATCGGTGCCGATACAGGACTTCTAGACGACTATTGCGTGATTCTTAAGCCCATGACTGAATATGCAAGTGATAGCTCTAGACAGGGTATCCTTAGGCTATAGATATGAGACCTTGGCGTACAGAGGCGTTTTGGTGGACTAACCGATGGCGCAATCATCACTGAGTCTTGCTCATGGGAA